TTTTGTTGACCTTTGTCCATGGAAGGTCCCTGCAAAATTTCATTGAAATTGGTTCAGGGGTTTTGGAGAAGAAGTCGAAAATGTAAATTGTTTACGGACGCACGACGGACGACGACGGACAAAAGGCGATCGCAATAGGTCACTTGAGACTTTGTCTCAGGTGACCTAAAAATCAAAAGGACATAGTCACAAATCCCAAATGTTACAACTGGAGTACTAGCACACTGAGTTAGGTCATCAGAGTGTTTCCTTATTTACACAATACACAAAGGAGGAAACCCTAAATTGTACAGGGGGCCAAACATTGCTTCATACAATGATACATACATGTACAGTGTATCATTATGATCAAGCTATGCTCTGGACAGAGAGTTTGTTAACTAATGGTCATCAACAGTGTAACTGATATAGTAATTGATTATACTGATGTAATCATGTGCTTGGTGACAACAACGTTCCTAACAAAAGGGCATAAATACATTATTAGGGGAGGAAACCCTAATGTATATATATACAATGCTGACATTTGTTCAATCGAAGGTTTGAATGTGTAAGAAGTATCAGTCAAATCGTTGCAGTACTCTGGGAGGAGTACTTGCCAACAATGCTTTTTAAAGAATGGGGCATAGCTCCATAAATTGGGGAGGTTACTTTGGGACTTTGGGAAGCATAGTGCAAACAATGTTGTATCTGCAGACAACCCAGTATATGCCCCTGTCTAGGATCATTGTCGAATCACAATGAAATAACCTCTCATGACCTTAAACTCCATTGAATTATTATGGTAAACTGCACCAAGTTGTAAGTAAATTGGATGGAAACAGATGAGACTACTTATACTTATGATATCTGCCAGGACAAGACATTAAACGACAGAGCAGCATCATCATTGTCTATAATTTGATATCCTAAATCTTCAATGCTTGGATACAAAGACAATAATAAGCCATCAACACAATCAGTGGTTCAGAGGATCTGATTCAATAACAAATTAAACCATCAAGTGCAATCTGATGGGAAAGTTGAAAGTTAAAAAGGACATAATTTATTTTGCTCATATATCTTGTAAATGTAGACATTATGTAAATCACTATGTATATAGGAAAGAGAACATAAACCATCTAGTGATGAGGTCATGTATTCCAGCCATAAATATATATAATCATCAAACAACAACCAGTGGAGCAGCAACACTATCATCTTCCCCAGATCCCTTACATTACTGTGGCACTTGACCTAGTTCCCATACATGTAGCCAGAGATTGATATGTTTCTCAGCCATGCAACCTTATCTGTTTCAATGCTGATTCTGATCAGAGAGGACAGTAGATCAGACTCTTGTGTTCATGTCATAACATTGCAGTTCAGACATGAGAATGAAATCTCCCCACGGTAGAAGCCTTGAGCATGTTCAGTATGATGATCAGGAGTCTGCCCATTGTGAACCACCATTCTATATGATTAATTATCATCTAATTCCACCTCATACTGGATTACTGCCCTTATAACTGGGCGGATATAAGGAATTGGCTGATTAATGACATATGAACATATGAATTCATTTTCTAAAATAACAAAAATATGTTCGGTTGGTTCTGTCCTATCTGATGATGATCATGGGCCATCAGAATGGAGCTCTTCTCATCAGTACAGCTTGATGTGTCATTGAGCATCTCGCGCTCTTTTACTGATGATTTGTTCAACTCCCTTAGATCATATTACAATTGTGTGACATTGTGTAAACACATCCAACACATCTTCATCGCTATTTGTGAACCTGTCATTATTAGTCGGAGCATCACACTTCGTTATAGAACTGATGACAATATAGAAATTTATCACATGATGTATTGTGCTATCCAGTGAATATATCCATGTCATATATATTTTGCGTATTAATGTATAACCCATGTTAAATGACCTATCAGCCCTGTGATTGGTTGTAAGTTTCAATTGTTTCAATTGTGGCATCACGCCTAGGACAAGTACATGTCGGCACAAACTTACGCACTGAAGTCATTTTTTTTTCATTTTTTTTACATTTCAAGGTTGCATGAAAATTGCCGTTTTACAAGAATAAATGCCACAAATCTTGATTATATGATAAAGAGGATCTTACACTCGTTTTCATTTCATATGAAATTATGAAACTCGTCACAAATTTTTCAATTTAGCTCTCCAGACGCTCGCGTAATTGAAAATTTCTTAAGACTCGGTTCATATATCTCGTATGAAATGGAAATTCATGTAAGATCCTATTATACAGAATGACAGAAGGATGCATACATTTGGCATGTTTTAATGTATGCTGGCTTGGTGTGTCTTGTACTGGCCCAGTTTGTCCCATATTGGCCCACTTAGGCCATTTGGTCAATGTTAGACTCTTGAGCTCCACCCATTTTGGCTCTGTTTGGCAGCGATATATCTATATGGCAGTTTTTCCCATGTACATATAAATGTATATAATTATCAATATGCAAGTACATCACTACATGTAGTTACTCGGTAATTAACTACATTTTATACAGGTGGTTTAGCATACGTACTTGTATAATAGTTAAGTCCTAATGTAACAAGAGGCCCAATGGGCCTGCATCGCTCACCTGGTATAAATCTCACACTTGTAACCTTAAAAGTGATCTAAAATAAAGCTACAGGAAAAATATCAGCTGGTATTTATGATTAAAATTCATTCAAAAGAACCTGTTCATTTTTTTTAAAACATTTAACCCCTCTGATTGAAAGTCGAACAAAGTCATTATGTTGAAT